TGAGAAAGTACTTTCCTGATTCATTGAGCCACAAAAATAATCCAGAGTTTTTTTTACCATGTTTCCAAACACGCTGTCAGAGACTTACAGTAGTGAAATGAAGATGACAGCACCATTCCTTTTTAAAACATGATGGAAAAATTCAAAATCTAGGGCGTCAATCAAGAGCCACAAAGGTGTTCTCTGTTATATATTTTGTTTAAATCTTTCAAATGATTACTTGTTTACTTCAGAACAATAAGAAGCAAAATAATAGTTTCCTGAACTGGTGAAAGTTAAAATGTTTCCATGTCATTCCAAGCTGTGTCAAATCATAATTTTTTTCTGAAGTGAAATTCAATAAGACATTCACAGATTCCCATTAATTACTATGTGCTTGTTATGAAACGCCACATACACCAATTCTGTTCAGGATGCCCGGGAAGCAGAGTCTGGGCCCCAAGAAATGTGACCCACTGCTAGCTTGATTCAGTTTGGCTTCTGCCATCACAGCCAGCTGGGAATGTTCTGCTGGGGATGGCATAGGAGCAAGCTGCAGCAATCCAGCCCTGACAGCTTCACTCAGCCAGCCTTGTAGGGTAGCTGTGCAGGTAGAAGGCAGAGCTGAGTGGCCAGTGCCTGGACAGTGTTCCTGGCAGCTCGGGCTCAGTTTAATTACTGAAGTGCCTACAGCACATGAGGAAGTGATCTGAAGAGAAGCTGTGTCGTTGTGGCGTACAGCAATGAGCACAGGACTGGTTAAGAGAAACAAAGGAGCTGTGTCACAGCACTCTGCCATTTGTTCGGAGCAGTGAGACATAGAGCGGCATGTAATTCTCAAACTCTTTCAATGACAACACTGTGAAAGTACTGGTGAGATGGCAGCAGATGCAGACCATAGTCATATTTAATAGTCAATTCATAGTGCTATGAATTAGTAGGGTCAGCAATCTTAAAGCTAGCTACATGCACTCTTTTTCTGCAGTGACATCTCAAATTGCAACGTAGATAGTGTTTCAGTTTCAGCATCTAAATGAGTTAAAGTAGATGGCCTCGCTTAATCTGCTTAGTCTCATTTAGGGTCTGCTTTAAGAGGATGCTGAGCATACTTTGGGTGCCTAATTAAAAACCTCGAGTAAACACAAAATAGCAAAGTTGAACCTCTCCTAACCAAATAACATTTTCCTAAGGATGTATAGAACCATATATTTATTTAGAAAATAAATCAGATTACTAGACTGCATGTAATGCTGACCAGTGTGTGCTACAAGTATTCTCACTTCCCAAAGGCAAAAAACAGGGTGTTAGATGAGAACATTTAAAAGAAGTTTATTACTAATTTTTTAATATTCTGAGAAGGGAGGGGCTAAAAGTGCTGAATACTCTCTATGATGCTGGGGAAAATTCTGGAGACGTTCTTTGCTGCTAGAGTGATCGTACAGAATTATGTCAAACACCAATTCCAGGATTTTAAAAGGAATAGATTTAGAGTTTTAATATTCTGCAGGGAGCAGTTTTGAACCAGATTAATAAAAGTTTTAGTTTAACTGATTTGAAATCATGGTTCTATACTCAGATTTATTATGCTCACCAGCAACATGGGCACAGTTTCTTCTTTTAGGTGAATTTGGGCTAGTTATACTCTGAAGCAAACAGGTCACTGCATATTATCATGGCGTGTCACATAGCTGAGAGACTTCTCTGTGTGAAAGGTTCAATAACACTGGCTATCAACACCTTCTTAAACTTACCAGTTAAATAGATTAATGATTGCATAGCAGTGATTAGAACTTGATGGAGGAGGCCTGCTTCAAGATATAGCTTTTATGGCAAGGCTCAAGGACAAAGTACAGTCTGGGATGTCCCTCATGATTCTGGTTCAGCCCTGAGTCAGGGCTGGTAATTGTGGTGACTTGAAAAAGTTTATAGCAATATAAAAGGTGGGGAGGCCTCTTGGAGGTGTTACTGTTGGCTGTAGCATTATAAAGACAAGCAAATAAACCAATATAACAAAACAAATATTCCAAAACACGGTACCATCATCATCTAGGTTTATTTAAAGTGGATGTTTTGCTACACCTTGGAAGTAGACATAAAAATGCTTAAATGTTTTAGCTTAAGATTTAAATGAGCTGCTTTCCAGCAACACCACAGTGAAGTAGACTGCAGCTGTGCTTATCAGAAAACAAAGAAAAAAAAAAGTTCTGTCGGCAGAAGGATAGTGATAGTTACAAGCTGAAGAGAAGGTACTCAACCTTTTTCCTTTCGGAAAGGAAGGGTCTCATAGTGAGAAAAACAAAGATGGATGTGCAGCTTACAGCTATGACCTCTGCAGCTGGTAGCAAAGCAACTTCAACGCATCCAGCGCTCTGCACTGACTGCTATGTTTTTGTTCTGAAACCCTTTCTCAACTGTCATTCACAGTGTTAGTTGGCTGATACTGTAACTAATAATGTTGAGTGGTAGGATTCATTGTGAATACTGGTAGAAGCAGAAAGAATTAATTTCCTAATGTCAGAACTGAGAATGGATGCCTGGCAGATGACCAGCTGCAGCAGCTCCACTACTTAAAGCACAAAGCTGATCAGTTATCTGAAAAGTAACTTTGATATCTTGCATGTCTTTCTCCAACCTTGTTTATTTTCTGTAACATTTAAGATTAGTGCACTGTGTCTGGCTGGGATGGAGTTAGCTTTTGTTCCAGCAGCCCCATATTGCCGTGGTTGGGACTTTTGGCTACAAAAGCATTGACAACACTCCAGTGTTTTGGCTATTGCTGAGCAGCACTTGCACAGCTTTCTTTTTGCTCACTCTGCCCCTTCAGTGAGAAGGCTGTGGTGGGCAAGAAAGTAGGAGAGCACACACGGGGTAGCTGACTCACACTGGCTCAAGTGATGCTCTGTACCAGAGAATGGCACACTCGGCAATAGAGCTGGGCTAGCAGACGGCAGGAGACTTTGTCTTCCATGTAGACGTTGCTTGGAGACTGGCTGGGCATCGGTCTGCTTGTGGGAGGCGGTGGGTGATCTCCTTAGCACTTCTCTTTCATTCCTACACTTACTAAGCTGTCTGTTAACCCGACCCACGAGCTTTCCTATTCTCACGCTTCCCGCTCTCCCTGATCCCTCTGCAGCGCTATGAACAAGGGGCTGTGCAGGCGCTTCCCAGTGTAAACTAATCCAAACGAAAAAAAAAAAACACGGGCCAGGTAGTGCTACACGGTTAGATGCAGCGGGCTCGGCAGTGCGGGGGTCAGCTGAAGGTGCGCAGCTTCTGCATACGAATTTCCACCTCGAAGGAACTACCACCTTTCTTTCTCAGCTCCTCGCAGCCGTAAAAACTCCTAAGCGGGGGAGCTGAGGAGCCGCGGCTGCACACACGGCAGCGCCCTGCGCTCCGCCAGCTCCTCCGCACCGCCTGCGCCAGCCGGGAAAGCCGAGCACAGAACGAAACAACCGCACGGCGGCCGCCCCCGTCCCCCGCCGCAGCGCGCCCCGCGGCGGCACGGCGCTGATTGGCTGGCGGGGCCGCGCGGGGGCTGATGGGATCGCCGCCGGGGCGGCCCAGCTCCTCCTTCGGCGGGCGGCGGCGGGATGCGCGGCCCGGCGCGCGGCAGGTACGTGGGGCGGGGAGGAGCGCCTGGCACGGCTCCGCGCCGGGGACTCGCCGGCCCGAGGGGCGGACGGGGCGCCCGGCGATTCCCACGCGCCGAAACCGGAGCCGCTGGCACGGCCCCCCCCCTCTTCTCGCCCGTTGACAGCCGGCGGCCCCCGGGAAGCGCGGCGGCGCAGGCTCGGAAGAGGAACCGCGGGCGGGAGGAGCATGCGGGGCTTCCTCGTGGCGGCGGGCGTGGGGCCGGGAGGGAACTGCCGCGCTGTCCTGCCTCAGGCGCGCTGTGCGGCGCGGAGGGCTCCTGGGCCGCCGCCCTGCGCTCCGCGTCCTGTTGGCGAGCCGCGCTTCTTTGCGGCTCGGGAGAAACGCGGCACCTCGGGATGCTTCCAAGCAGATGGCATCGAAGCTGGTAGCTGACAAAAGTCAGTGTCTGCCTTTAACGGAGGTACTGGGGCGGGTGGTGGTGTGCTGCAGGTGATGCTCGCGGTTTACATTCACCTGTCCGAGGCGTTCGGAGCTTCTGCTGCTGCTGTGGGTGTCTGAGGCCAGCGGGAGCCTGGGCTATGGGTGGAAACGGAGCGAGCAGACACGGACACGGAGGTGGCACTTCCATCCCTGTGTGTGATGGTGAGCACCTGATGGAGTCTACACAGGAGCAAATTGGAAGGCTTGCAGAATACCTGATTTAAATGGCACTTGCCTTCCCTTCGGGGTGCAATGCCTGTGTGTCTGTATGCAGAGTCCTGACTGCGACTTTCGAGTCTTCCTTCCTTTCAGTATGATTTGGTTTGATGTTATTTAGTCATGAATTTCAGTGTGTTAGTTCTTAACACTGGGGATTTTAATTTCAGAAGAGCTTTTTAATCATAAAACTTCTTTGAAGTTAGCTTGAAGAAATCTGAAAGCAGCGATGATGTTCTGCGTGCTTTTGGGCCCTTTTTGAGGAGAGCCCTGAGGGTACCTGGTGTTTGCACCCTGTGTTAGCGCTGAAATGGAGTGCAGCCTGTGCTGCTAGCCATAGGAGGCAGTCTGCCTGACTGTGTAGCTTGATGAGGAGTAATGAGATCATTAAACCATTTTCTTCCCCTGGATGAGTAGATTGGTGACTTCTGTAATTGTGCACAATCCACCATCTTTCAAAAGAAAAGCCTTTTCTGCTCCAGCTGTCCTTCTGTGGCATGTCTGCTTTTTCCTAATCAAGCTGCCTCTTTTTTGGGTAGAGGAGATGCTACCATGTTTATTTATTTATTTATTTATTTATTTATTTATTTATTTTTGAGACTTAAGCAATAGAAAACAGTAATTGTGTTTTCATGACCTTCCATGTAGTTTTCACAACTCTTGTATTATTGATTTTTTTTTTTTTTTTTTTTTTTTTTAAAGCTTAGGGTTCAGCTGTCTTATTTGTATGTTAAATCAGTGGTAATGTGGTAGAATTGAGTCCTATCACAGTAGTGCATGAGTGAGCAAAACAGCTCTGTGCAGAAGAAGCGCATTTTCTGAAGGAGGAGCAAGGAAAGTGTCTGAAGTGATCCATAGTAAACACAGAAAATTCTCCATCTGGTAACTAAGGATTAAGTGACTAAATTGCAAATGTGAATTCAGTGGTCCTAATCCTCCTTGGAGAAGGGTTTTGGTAATACTGAGTCACAGGCATCCATAAAGCCTGTTGCTCTCGTGGTTCGTATAAAATTATACATGCGATGGCACTTGTCAGACCTGTTTCCCTTCCAGATGTTTTCCAGGTAGTTTGAAAGACATATGGATAGATACCACTATGAATGTGTTATTGACAGAGGTCTGCAACACCGATGGTTCATGAACAATTTTTGCTCACAGGGCCCTCTACATTTTCTGTGTCTGAGACATTTTCTGTGTCATTTTCTGCAGCTGTGGTGTGAAGGAAAATGGCTCCAAAAGGCCTTGTGAATCATGTGAACCTAAAAAAGCTACCTGTGCTCCTAGCACCAGTGACAATATAATTGAAGTGAACCGGATTTGGGAACCACGTGCTAGGTTTACAAGCTTCTTAATTGGCTGGGTAACAGCGTTCGTTCTGTTTTGCAATAATGATGCTATCTCAGCGTGAAAGTACTTGTGAAGCAAGTCACCTCAGATCTACTTGGTGTGTGTCAAAATCTATCTACATGTACCTGGTAAAATAAAAATGGTGTAAAATTTTTAGTGCTAGAGAACAATAGTATTGAATGTTGAAAAATAGAGAAGTTGTTTTTCTGAGGTGAGCTACTGTAATAGTGATTGGAGGATTTATGCAGAACACCAAGGGCTAGCAGTGCTTTTTCTGTATCTCATCCACTCTGTGCTAGTAATTTGGCAACAGCAGAGCTCATGTGTCCATCTGTTCTAGCTTCACTTTGGCTGCGTTTCAAGTACAGATTTGCTTATCTTCAAGGATTGGTTTTCAAAATCATAGGGCCTATGGTTCTGGGTTCTGAAGTCCTTGGCTCTCTTACAAGGCAAAGAGGAGGCTGTAATACAGTAGCGTTAGTGAGCAGTATGTATCCTGTGTTGTGTTAATTCATTCTGACAGCCTCAGATAATTTGGGAACAACTTTGAATCGAGATGAGATTTCTTTACCTTTCAATGCTTGGCCAAAAGTAACTTTACGAACAAACTACTAATCACTTACTTCTGCCTAGCTGGGTGGTGCTTTGTTTTTGTTTTGTTCTATTGTTTCAGTCTAGACTGGAGAGAAAATCTGTCATTCTAAGGTTCCAAGTCCATCTACTTTTTGATGGAAGGCTGCAAAACTTCTATTTCAGGAACCTAAGCCCAGCTTATTGCATTAGTGTTGTTCATGGGTTCTGGATTCATGCAGACTGAACTACTTTTGCATGCCTAGAGTTGCTTTTAGGGCCATTTAATGTGGTGGTAACTACCTTGAGTTGTGTTCAGGGAGCACCTGCCAGTGTAGTGCTTTCCAAGAGCATGTGAAATCTCTGTAGCCTGCTTTGAACCTAAAACTGATCGTACAAAGGAGGAATAATAATGCTGTATGAAAAGTTCTTATTGATGGGTGTGAAACGGAGGGAAATCTATGGAAGAAAAACTTCTTTCTCATGAATAATAGGATGTTAATTGTGAATGTTGGCAGCGTCAACTAAATAAAAAGGTACATGAAGAGTTGAGTTTATGAGCAGCTGAGAAATGAATTATCCTGCTTAATAGTAAGTAGTAGTGCTGGAGGATTTTGACTTTTAAGTGGTTATTTTGTGCCTATTTTTGAGGGTCCCCCTCCGTTTAAAGAGTTACAAAGTGTAAATTAAGTTGTTCTCATTCCAGCTGATAAAGAGACCTACAAGAGCACAGACTTGGTTTATATTAACATATAGGTAGATAACTATGCAGTGATCTTATGCACTGCATTGACATGTTTAGATATTAAAGTATGTTATCACTCTTGTAGGATGCTGTTAGATTGGTCTTATGTGCTTAATGCTTTACTTCTAGCTGTGAATTCTTGTAGAAGATTAATAGCTCTACCATCATTTGTCCACTGTAGAAGATGGGTGGATTAATTTCGAGATGGAGGGTAAGTAAAATATTTTAACCATGTCATAATCTTTTGTTAGCTTGGAAGATGGAAGTTTGCAGGATGTGATTCTTAATCGTATTTGTTGACTTCGATGCTGGTTGAAAGTTACAGCTGAAGATTTATTTTCTTTGTACCAGACCTGGCAGGGTTTGGTTGAGTTACATAATTACTGCTTTGACTCCAAAGAGTTTTGTGGTACTCTATCATGATAGATACAGCAGTATCTGTAACTTTAAAGGTGAGTAGCTATTCTCAGTCCAAGTGGATACATTCAGAATATCATTCTGTATCTGTTTTTTAAAAAATAATTTGGTAGCTACATGTACAGATCTTTCTTCCTAACTATTTTTATTGGAATATGTATAATTTAATAATATACTGAGTTTGCAAAAGTCATGAAGCTTTTGACTATGCTCTTGACTATTCTTTCTATTAGCAGATGTGAGTTATTGAGTCTGGGTTTGCAAGTGATGTTTTTAGAGTTAAAAAAAAAAAAAAAAAAATCATTAAAAGGTGAGAGTGTAGTTAAAATTGCCAGCCCTGCTTGGAAGGGGGGGGGGGGGCGGGGTGTCTACAGTGGTTTTTGTGTTGGCCTTAGTCTTCAAGTTTGTGGTCCAGTGAGTTTGGGAGGACAATTAGTACCTTCCTACTTCTCAGATATTAGAGGAGATTGTTAGAAGATAGATTCCAAGTTGTTCTTAAGGGGAATTTTACTGCAGATGAGAATGCTTACTTGCTTATGATTTATTTAGAGCCTGTCTTTGTGTGCAATGAGTACTGCTAAAAGGTTAAAAGTTCTTAGATTGAGGCTTCTTGTCTATATTTTCTTTATTTTACCTCTTCCTTCCACTCATCAGTTCACTTCTTGTTCCTACCCACACACCTATTATTACCGTAGTTGTAGGTTTTCATCTTTTGTGGTGTAGGAGTGGAGCCTTCAATCCATAGGATGACAACTGCAAGACAGCGATGTGTCAGTGTCTTCTGTTTGTCACTATTCAAGTGTGTATGGAACTGCTGAGTCACGGCCTGAACCTCTGATTGACCACCTGAGGCGAGCCATGAGTAGCCACGGGAGCAGGGGTGAAGGCAATTCAGCTGTGCTGCCGGAAGGGGTGGAGCCTGGCTGCACCCCTCCTAGACCTATTTAAGAGCTGGCTGCCAGTGGGGAAGGATCTCTTCTGGAGATCCACTCTGCTGGAGTTTTGTAGTGAGCCCAGGATACTGATAAGCATCCTATCTTTTTTGCTTGGGTGTAAGAACTGAGCAGCCAAGCTCTCTGGTACAATGCATAACTGTAACATCTGTACATTCATTGCTTGTACAAGTAGGAAAGATTATTAGTTTTATATAAAATAGATGATATATTAATTCATTATGTGTCTTTTTGTTAGAAAACTGTTAATCTACACTAATCCTCAATGTATTTCTTTAATCAGATTAATGGCTTTGTCCTTTCCCTTGTAAGCAGGCAAAGCCTTCTACTGTAGAAGTATTAGAAAAAATTGATAAGGTATGTATTTGACTCTTAATTATTTGTTTTTGTTTGGAAATATATGTCCTGTTTGGTCACACTTTTATTTTAAGTAAAATAATGCTATGGAATTTTAAATCATTTTGATTTTTCCATTTGGTTGTTATAGATTCTGAGTTTCATATAGACTGCTACATTAAACAAAAACAAAAACAAAACAAAAACAAAAAAACCCCAAAACAAACAGACAAACCCCAACCCTAACAACCTAAACTACACCAAAACACTGCGTAATAATTAGAGGAACTATAGTTCTATAGTTTAAACAGTTGTTTAGAAAGCTTGGAACAGGTCTGAATTGTGAGCTTGGCGTAACTTCACAATTCTATTATAACTAATAGTTAAACTCTTGTGTTATGGGAAACATCACTTGAGGAAAGTTCTGTTTATCAGGCTTGCTAGAAAAGCTTCAGTGTGTGGTTTAAAGTGCAAAAATTGTAACTATAGTGGTAGTAAGTAAGGCAGAGCCTGAGTAACAAAACAGACAATTAATCAGTTGTGCTTTTTAGCTGGAATTTCAGACTTGTGTCTGTATTGCTTGAAGAAATATTCATTTGAAATATTCATTTGAAATATGCTGTTGATACTTTTTCCTTTAAATTTAAGTACTTCTGTTGTCACTTGAAATGCGATAAAAATGGTAACACTTCAGAGCATAGCTTGATTGCTTACTAATATGCCAGAAGTATCATTTTGATTTTCAAGATTTTAGTCTTATAAAATATTGAGATGAAACCATGTGGAGTGATTGGGAGGTTTCAGCAGTTTCCTGTGTTAGTAGGAAAGCATTAAAAACATTTGATGTTCCACATGTCTGATAAAAGTTTTAGAATGCAAGATATATTTGGTAGAGTCTTCTGTGGTCTTAGAGACAGCCATTCATAGGCTACAGAGCATGTTCAGTTTGTCCCAAACATACTAAAATGTTACATAGGAAAAAGTAATAGTTTTCAGTTGTTCTGCCCAGTAGTGATATGTCACTGCTAATACAGTGCAAGTGGCCCTCATTGTAAGTATAGTCCTGGGGTGTATTTATGGTGTGAAAGTTATCTCCGGGTAAATAGCAGCATTTATCAAAAATATGCTTCACTTCAGTGCTGGTATGACACTGTGGCTAATTTTAGCAAGCACTTAAAAGCGGCTTAATAAAAGCCACAGTTACATTTCATCATTAAACTTGAACCTATTTATTTACAGGAAATACAGACATTAGAAGAATTTAGAGAAAAAAATCAGAGACTACAGAAACTATGGGTTGGAAGGCTGCTCTTCTACTCTTCACTTCTTTATCTTGCCACCTGCTTAATTGTGTATTTGTGGTGTCTTCCTGATGAATGGACAGCAAGGTTTTTTATGACGCTTCCATTTTTTGCATTTCCACTGATGTAAGTAAATTTCTCTTTTTTAAACATTTGTCTCTTTGATAGAAGGAGATGGAGAATACTTTGTGGCAGGGGTTTGGGTTTGTTTTTGATGGTCTTTGAGTTGTTATAACTTGTTGAATTTTTTGTTTTAAAATAAATCCAAGTAGTAGGATAGATGCTTTCTTTAGTGGAAATGTTTCTTCAGGCTCTGGATTTAGTATTGAATTAAGTTTTATCATCAGAAGATGTTAGCAGCTAACGTTGCTTGACTTACCAAAATTATACCAGAACTAGAGAGAGAGCTGTACCTGAGCAGCTGCCAGTTAGCATAGTATAAACAGAAGAGCACTATCTTAGGTTTCATTTCTGCTGCTGTTTTGGAAAAGCAACACTACTGTATGGAAGCAATACAAGCAAGTTATTTTGCCTGTATGTGAAGTGAACCATATAAAATTGGAGGAAAAAGTTTGAGACTAAATGGAAAAAACTGAATTTTAGATGTTAGTTGAGTGTTAGCTCAAGTTATGTGGAGGGTTATTGGGCTAAATATATTGAGGATCAATTTTAAATATATTGAGGATCAATTTTGCTTAAATAGCTGGTTTTTTTCCTGTAAATTCCTTGATTGTTTACATAATAAACACCCTAACATTTTTGAATGTGGATAGGAGGGACGATAGTCTTGTCTTTTTCTACACAATTGCCTGTTTGTCCTCATGAGTGACTAGTTTTCTACGTTGGCCTTTTTCTATTTAAAAACAAAAAGTTGAGTTCCCACCTTACCAAAGAGTGCTTTCATTTCTTTGCTCTTTGCCCCCAGCCCTCAGCAAGGAGAATTGGTCTTGGTCTTTGGAGCAACATTTCTAGAAAACAGATTGCAGAGTGCATTTACTGCTTTATGTCATAGGAATTTGCACTATCTCAGATGAGCATGATGAATGCTGTCTATATTTGTGCAGCACAATTGTATGGAAACTTGATTTGCCAGTGCTCTAGCTCTAGACTTGAAAGGAAGAGTCAAGTGTATGTATTTAAGGATATGCAAGATCAATGGGTGTGGATAACACAGAACATAATACATTATACGTTAAAAGATACACGAAGATATTCTCTACATGTTATGTTGTGTTAAGTGGAATGTAGTCAAGTGTTGCTGTTATAGAATCCTGTGGAGAAGATAGATGGGCCGTGCTATCTTTTCTGGAAAGAATTAATTTATAAATTAATCTTTGACAGCAATATGAATTGTTTAGTTCTTAAGTGCACTGATTTGAAGCCTTTTGTTGTTAGCATGCAAAGCTTGCTTATGCTATTAGTGACAGTGTGTAGAAGAGGAATCTTCACCTCACTGAGGTAGGAGAGCTTGTGTAGAAATGAAAAATTTGCAATTGAAGGTGATGGCTTCTAGTGCTCTGGTGTGAATTTTCACTTTGGATTTTCCCTAATTTGTCTTCCCAATTCTTGCTTCACTTTTTTGGAATGGTGGCATTTTTGAATTAGATTACAAGTTCAGACCTGGACTTGTTTTTTACCATTTGTGACAGTTCATCTGATTTTTTTTCTATTAAGCTATTACACTTCAGGTTTTTTGACAGATGCGAATAGCAAACAACTGCCAGCTCGTCTTTGCTCTCAGTCAGGAGGTGCCACCCAGCAATAGCTCTAAGATTTCTTCTTCTTCTATTTATTTTTTTTTTTTAAAGCCCTAATCCAACTGGAATATGTCTACCTTTTCCAGTTGCAGTCAGTCACCATCTTGTTTCTGCCTTAGGTCATTCCCTCAGTCTTGGCACGTTACTGGTAAGGAGAGTTAACTGCTAGGATCGATTTTAAATATGTATTAATACTTCTGAGAAGATCTGTGTTTTAGGAAGATATTCTTGAAATGGAATCTATTTAAATGAAAAGTATTTCATCTTGCCCTAATTCTCATATAAATGTTTTTCATTTTAAACTTATGTTTATATGAAAAGATCTGTTTTCCAACTTTGACTTCCGAGTTTCATGAATTTTCTGCTGTGTGAAATCCTACCATATGTGTTTGCTTAGGATACAACTTTAGGTAGGAAACGACTCTTTTCTGTATTAAGCATAGATAAAAACAAAGAAGTAATGCCTGTGTGCCATAGTGTTCTTTCTTCATGGGAAGGTGTATTTTAGGTTGTTAAGAGACAGCGCTGTCTGTGTTCTTAAGTTGTTACAGTAGACTTTCGGAAGTGGAATGGTTAGGCTTGTTTCTCTTACCTTGGATATGTTACCTTCACTTTCTATTTGCCTTGTCTGACTTACCTAATTCATGTTTTGTTACTGTGTAAAAGCATTTGAAACTGAGTAGCCATTATATAAATACAAAATATGTTTTTATGAATTACTCAGAAGTATTTTTAAAATCTCACATTATTTTGCTTGCTTTCCTATACTAGTTATAGGAAAATGTTTCTAGCCTTTGGGATGTGGATTTTTTTGCTCAACTGAAACACTGCTACTTTATCGTAATTATAAACAATTCTAAATTTAAAGAAGTCTTTAGTCTTTGTAGAGAAGCCTTTCAAATGTAAAACAGACATCAATCAGTAATTTTATTTTGAGCACACAGATAAAGCTGCTGCATTGTTTGGACTAAGTCAGATGAAACTGTACAGAATGTGACTGGATTCAGAGCTCTGTAAAATCAATGGGAGTCAGGACAGTTGTATTTGTTTGGGAGAGCATTTGCACAATAGCTGTATCTCTTGCCTTTCATTGGTATTGAATTCCCTGTACAAACCTCCTGTGTCTTAATTTTGAGACTTAGTTGGTGGACTTGTTTTTTGGTTAACTTGCTTCATAAATTTATTTAACAAGAAGCAATGAATAGGTAGTTTTCAGCTGGTTTCATATACCTTGAGGTTTCCAAACATTCTCACTGAGCGTTTTAGCGAGCAATGATGTTACTGCTACTGCTTCCTTAGTATTTCTACCTATAGTAGTGTTTGTTTAATGTTATTCCAGTTGGATTTTATTTATACCAGTGTTGGTGTCTCGTCAATGTAATCGTTAAGCTTCAATTAATATTTAAGCTCTCTGCTTAATATTGTTAATATTGAAGATTAGAAATATTATTAATTGTTATTTAAACGATTACGTAACTTAAATATTGTTTGAAGATTTGTTCTTTGTATTTGCAGAATTAAATCTCATGTGGTAAGTCTTCTGTGTGAACTGTCTGCTTTGCTAAATGACTTCAGAAATGATTTCTGCAATATTTTAATTAATGTAACTCTTCTTTCTGTTTTAAAGAATCTGGTTTATAAGAACACTGCTCATTTTTTTCTTTTCCAAAAGGACAGAAAGGAATAGTAAGTATTTTTGTCTTTCTAAGCCTATGGGGCTAGTTGGGAATGATGCTTGCGATGAGAAAGGAAATATTTTGAATCATTTGGTGCTTCCAGCAATAACCTCTTGATGTTAAAATGGGTAGCGTTAGTCACACTGTTGTTTCTACCACAACTCTGTAGAGAACATTAAGGAAACTGTTTAATCTCTCTATTTATGAAATGATGGTAACCTTTTCTCCTCTCTTTGGATATTTGGAAGTGTAACAGAATAAAATGCAGCAGAAAAAGGAAAATAATAGGAGTGACTTCTTTAATATTTGCATTTTGCAAGTATTCTTGCAGTTCTAATTTGTTATCTTTATGTACAAGAGGAGAGATGTATAGCAAGTGTTAAATTTATTTGTCAAGACGGCTTACTCCTCACCAAGTTCTCCAAAATATGCTTATGCTCTCCTGAGTGTATGAGGAGATGGGTGTGTGATGGCTTTTTTTTTTTTTTTTTTTTTTTGAGAGCTAAGGAAAATTGGGTGTCATGTAACTTAAAAAAAAATAAAAATGCTGGTGTTCAAATATATTTGTGTGTAGTTGCTAAAGTACATGCAAATTCACTGTAATGTGAAATTCATCTGTCTGGTAGTTAGACTTCATCTGAGATTTTCTTTGGAAGGAATCTGGCTTGTAGCGATATCTCACAGTCATGCGAGCACTTTTACAGAAAAAAGTCAGTGTTTTATGGCTTGCAGAGCAACAAGATGTTTTTAAGTTGACAGCTTTTGAGTTGAATGTCACTTTTGGAATTTCTTAAATTTAATGTTTACATCTTAATGCAAGCATAGGGACAGACATTTTTATGTATGGATAAAATTGTTCATATATTTTGTGATGCTGTGTTGATTCATTTCTAAGGACAAATATGTATTTGCATTGTGTGGCCCCATAAGAAATAAAAGTGTATTATTCTGATTCGTTTAAAAGCCTTTGTTGTTTTTAGAATATGAGGAAGTCTACTGCCTTTAAACCTGTGTAGAAAAGGTTTAAGTACTTGTTAGATCGCGCTAAAGAGAATTATTTCTGCACTAGAGATTGGGCAAACCCAATTTGTGTTTTACCTCAAAATTGCGAGTCTTCTATTTAGAAAAGAGAAATAAAACACACAGTGCAAGAGTTGCAGAAAAAAATGCATTGGAAAAAGAACTGGCAACTGAGTATCTCAAATATAGTCTTTTGTTCTGATATAATTTAGTACAGTGAGTTTCATTAGAAATGATATTTTAATACTGTGGAAGTCTACGCTGGATAACTACATCAGTTTTGGGAGCCAAGCTCTGAATGAGGAAAATTCCTAGTGAAACACAGGGAGGATGGGTGATGTAGGAAGATTAGGGAATATCAGTTTTTAAGATAGGTGAGTCAGATAGCTGTTGAGGAAGATTTAGGCTGATCTATCCCAAAGCATGGTGAAAATAAATGAGGTATTTTGCAGGTATTGACTTCTCTGATATGAATGCTTTTTCAGTAGCCTTAATTAAGATAAGATATATATTGGTTTCTTGAGAGTGCTTTCCAGTAATTTCCATTTGTCCACCTTGGAAGTGGCAAGCATGAGATGTTTGTCAAAAGCAGGGGGTAAAGAAACAAATGCTCCCTCTTTAAACTTACTGTATTCCTATGTGGGTGGCTGTACTCGAAGTTGTTCTCGGCAGTTGTATACCAAATGCAGCCTCTATTTCTTAATTGACTGTTAATGAATGACACTACTATTTGTTTGGCTGCCTGATCCCATGCTACCTTACAGTGGAAGCTGTTGATCTATATGGGACTACCCAAGAGACTGTTTTAATACAGATATCAAATTTGGTGGGTGGAGGTGTATTAGTTTGTTTATTTGAAGTAATTCCTGGGATTGTATATTTTCTTTGGCGTGGCCTGGCACTCAGTAGATTTTGCTCTAAGTTCCATCTCTTTTACTGGTAAGTGATGGTAATAGTTATTTTTTTCTTAGCATTCAACTTCAGAATTTTGTATGTGCCAGGTTCTAGTATTTTATACATTGAATAGAATGGCTTATTACATCAAAATGGGTTCCTACATTCTGGAAAAGTTCAAGATGTTATGTGTTCCTCAAAGTTATTTCCCGGAATAAGTTTTCAGAAGTATATAATATACCTAATAAATATACATAGATAAATGCAAATGTATGTATGTAAGTAAAAGTATGTATTACATTTAATATTATTCTTGTTTCTTATAGCTTTATTTATTTTATTTTATTTATAGCTTTTGGAAAACTGAAAAATGGGTAAACACACATTTTATGTGTGTTAAGCTCTTCTTGCTATGAAGGATGTAGTGGAAAACTGGTGTTACCAAGAAAACCTCTTCTGTACTAGGTGATGGTTTATTGCAGTGAGGTTTCCTTGAGTGCCAAGCTGTAAGCATTTGACTTAAGGAGAATCCCATTGCATTTGACCTTTCCTCTCTGTTCCTTATAGAGATAAGAGGTTAAGTGCTGCACTTATTACTTGTAGCAAAGTCTCTTACATTTAGTAGTAAAATGACCTGGTTAGCCTACAAAACTTCTTTTCTCTTCTGTGATCTCTAGTATTGGAAGGATGAAATAAATTCAGATTTGAAGCTCAGAATTCATCCGGCATTTGAAACTAGCATGTGTAAGAGGCTTATATGAAATATTGAAGCCAGTAAATCCGGTACTCAGATATATTAATACTTGGACTTCAAGCATTTTTTTCTGTAGTTTGACTGCTGAGATTAAGTGCATTTGGTCCATTGTTGTAGCAATTTTAATGTAGGTCAAAGCAGGGCACTAGCTAGAATTGGTTCCCTTAATGAGGAAATGGTACATAAAACTTTTTAAATAGTTATAACTGTAAAATGATAAGTGGGCTATAATTTATGAGCAGTTTCAGGGTTAAAGATAGTTTCTTTTCTTTTTTTTTTTTTTTTTTCAAGTTTAACTGAAGCAGGTTTTGTTGTGGTCAGTAAACTTTGATCGTACAGGGCAAATTCAGTGGTCAGAGGGTGCAGGCATTCTCATATGTGGAAACTGATGTATGATGTTTTTCTTTTAGATGATGCGCTGGACGATTTAAAATCTCAAAAGAAAAAAATTGTAAGTAAAACTTCAAAAAGCAGTTGTTGGGGTCCACTGAAATGTTTTTGTCTCTACAAGCTCAGCTTGATGAAGATACGTAAATGAAAAGCAGAGACAGGCAGAGGAGAAGGGGGGAAGCTATTAATGTTGCTCTGTTTTCATGTTTTCTAGTACTCCTGCCACACAGTAGTACCGGGCTGCTTGTGTATGAGAATAAATTCTCTTCTCGTAGTTTAAATTAAACCTCCTGTTTTGTTTTTTGTTGCTAGGTCTGCTAAGTGATTTAGCAAAAAATGAAAATGTATTCTTTAAATTGCTTATTGCTTTAGGTTTATAAAGCAGTAGATATACTGGCTCGAGAACATAGTCCAACTGAATTTTTAATAGACACATCATTTAATTTTTTGTTTATAAATAACAAAAATGACTTGCATCTGGATTCACTTTTTCATCAAGTAACAGATTGTTTGTATCTCAAATGCTTCCTTGCTTATTTTTCATTCTCCTCCATCTTATTTTTATACATGTATTCATTCCATTATCTTTTTTCCTCTTGAAAATGTATACTGTCTTGTATCAGTTCCATTGGTTATCTCCAGCTTGTTTTTGTGAGCTGTGTGGATGAATTAACTGTATGAAACTGGTGTATGTCAGGTCTTTGTATCAGATGGATCAACACTTGATCTTGAAACAAATTTTAGATCGAAAACCTACTGAGTCTTGGATAACTCGCACTGTACACCGAAAGCTGTTTCATCTCTGGCTAGTCGCTCTGTAAGGAAACTGTGGCTTCATCTCAGGTTTCTCAGGGCAAAACTTAACAAAAACCCAAAAACCTCCAACCAGCCACCGATGAAATCACAAATGAAGTCCCTACCCATGAAACATCCTCCTGAGGTTGCAGTATGTTTATGATTTTTTCCAAGTGTTTACCTTGTGCCTTCTGGATTGCTTGCTCTAGTAGCTAAATTAACAGAAAACCTGCAGCAAAACTACTAAAAAGGTGTCTGTTAAGAGTCTGAAATCATATGGCCTTCACATGGCAAACAGAATTCACTGATCTTCCACTGGGCTGTGTAAGTACATTGTAAATATAAAAATGGTACGGAAAACTGTAACCTGATTGTCATTGTCCTTTAGTAAAGAGGATTTGCTAATTTATATCTGCTAATCTTTATTTTAAGGGATCTGTTAAATGGAGGTGTCCTTTGGCTGAAGAGGTGATGAAAAGAGTTGGAGAAGCTTAAATTTTGTAGTAATGAAATAAATGAATATGACAGCTATAGTTTTAATCTTATTTTATTAAAACAATAACTGAAGTTAGTTAATCTTTCCAATTTACACAGTTACTGAGTTGTTTTGAAGGGAAATCTCTGGAGAAGCTCAATGCAGATCCCAAGAGCCTTTGGAGTCTTGAGTGTAAATCTCTCATTTCATTTAAATAGACGGTTTTCTGTTATCAGAATCATCATATTATTGAAAAAATAGTCATGCTGAACTTGTGTGTGGATTCCTTGCCTTTTTTATTTTATTTTGGATGAGACAAAATCAAGTAGATAAGTCAGGAAAAAAAATGGGGAGGTTTCTTTGCTTGGAATTATAGTGAAACATGGTGTAAATGTCCTGACTTTGCATATGCAAAATATATAATGTAAAAAAAAAGTTTAAAAAAAAAAAAAAAAGTCAAAACAACAGCAAAAGTGCCAACCTGTACTTGTTGAAGACAAACTTCTAAGCAGAACTTTAGCTCTACTATTTTTCAGTCTGAGGGCAATATAGTCTGTGACTATCTCCTGAGCTTGTGGGTGCCTAATTCCTAGCAAGGAAGCAGAGGACTTACTGAAGCCTATTGATCTGGTGTGGTGTTGGTATTTTTCACTCTGAAGATTTTCTTCAAAGTTTGGTCATAGCTTAAGGTATTTAATTAAGCTTGAATCCTACTGTGTTGAAATGAGCTGAAAACAGATGCAGGTAATTACCTAGAATTTGTATTCTAGATCAAAGCATTTTAAAATTGAGTTATAACAATTATGTAGTAATGTGATTTTGATAATATTTAGATTTAGTTTTGGTTTTGTATTAATTTCCTTAGTCCTATCTGTATCAACAAGTACCGGTAGTGATACCTACTTCGTAGTTCAAGCAATGAAACCAAGGGGAAAAAAAACAACCAACCAACCAGAAGCATTAATGAGAAGTAATGGGAATGGAGAAGAACAAGATCATAGTTTTTTCCTGTTGGATTCTAAGTAGCCAATGTATTTGGTGATAGAAATGGTTACTGAGATATTAACATAGTGAGTGGGTAAATTATGTACTTCCTGTTTATTTGTAACGTGGATTGTCTAGGCACTGTGAGCATGCTGCAATAGCTATAGTTTTTCACTTTATTGTAGTTCAACTGCCTGAGTGCTGGAGAAACTTTAAAGACAGTTGGCCTTTTGAGAAGTGTTACAGCCCTTGAGCTTTTCTGGCCTGTGGTCTATCTTTTCCCTGGTAATGCTCCTTGAGTTCCAAAGGGTGCCAACAACAGAATAAGCTCCTCACCTACTAGATGGAAAGCCCTGGTGATTGTGCCATGTGAGCTGCCAAATGGGCCCTTCAGCTCTTCTCACAAGACTTCAGACTTTAGTAGCATAATCACATGAATGGTAACGTGGGTGAAATATCTGAGATTTTTCATCTTGAAATATCCATTAATATTGTCTGTTGAGACGAAGTACACAGTGTGTATAATACTTTGCACAGGGTTGAGTATTGTTTCCTTAGTGGTCTCAAACATGCTGTGGTTCTCTATGGCGCTGTCACGGGGGTAAGAATTGAGTGCGTTAGCTATAATTAAGACAGTACTTCAAGATGCAACTTTTCCCATCATTGATTATAAGGGATACTATGGTTGTGTTTGTGATACTGTGACTGTCTCTTTGGCCTTAGTTCTTCATCGGTTAATGAAGTTGTCAACCCTTAAGCCTGAATGTGTTTAGATGAGCAAGTTCAGAGGGTTAAGCAGATTAAAAGCAAGGGCACAGGACATGTGTTAAGCTGCTAGAAGTGGGAATTAACAGAGACTTTACCTGGAGTAGCGGTCTTAAAGATGGGATAATTCTTAGCCTGAGGACAGAGTTGCTAAGATAGCATAGTAATTACTGACCATTGCGTGAGCCCGGCTGTGCCTACCCAATGTACGTTAGAGTCCTGCGAATTCACAATAGGAAGCTCAACGTGTGATTAAAAATTAAATCTACTGATGAATAACCAAGGTGTTTCTTGTAAATGTGTTGCAGTGTTCATATGAAACGGTTACTATTGTGGCTTAAATTACTTTATTTTCTATTTTAAAGTTACTTTTGTATGTGCTTGCAAATCTTATACTGTATGTTAAAATTAATCTTCAGCCTCGCACAAATGTGTAGAAATACTTCTCCATAGTGAGGTTTGACGTACCAAGTAATTCAGTTTAAGAACTCACGAGGTAGTGTGGTGATTAAGTAGCTTGCACTGTGCTAATACTTCAAATTTCTATTTGCTAAATCACCCTGACAAGATGCTTAAAATACATTACACATATTACTTTTCAGTGTAGGCAACTGGTGTAGTTTTTGCAAGAGTTCTGTTTAGTTGTCGTTTGGAAAGCAAGCCACCCATGCAGTTATCCATAGGAGAGAAAGTGGTATAGCCATGGTGCTTTATTAAGATGTGACTAATTCTGTGAGTTAGTTCGGAAATCCATGATTAGGGTGGTATTAACCTTTTTAGAGAATTCATTTGTTATTCTGGTTACTCAGCATTTTAGCTTGATAAACTGGATTTTGTTTTGGTAGGAGTTGAAAAATGTTTTTGTGGGGGAAAACATTTGAATCTCAGAGAAGGTTATTAGGGAGAAGAGCGGAACTGTAGAGCAATTTGTTGTGTTTTTGAGCCATTGTTCAGCACAAAGCTTTTCTGGGGTCATTTCAAAGTAGTGAATGATCCAGAAGTCAGTCATTTGATTTGTATTTACAAATGGATTTGTGGTAGTGCAGAAGCAAGTTTCTTCTTCATGCATTCTTATAGTATTCCAAGCTTATGCACACAAGCCATTATGTGCTTCTAGTAATTATACTGATTTGCAAAAGTTTGATCTCTTCACTACTTTTTTTTTTTTTTGTATTGTCAGCCAATATACATTTAACTGATTTCAGGAAAATATATTCTAGAAGTGAAGCCATGGGATTGGTGAATGTATTTATAAAAATCTCAATTGTTTTTAGGAGTTTTCAAGAAATTTGTAAAAGCTTGATTGCAGATATGAATTCTCATTCAGTTTCAGCTTTGCTGTATTAATATAGCTGTGTATAAACTTCAAAATATGAAGAATAACTTGTTGAATTATCCCATAATTCGATAACGTGAGAATGACTGTGATATCTGAATCTTGTGACAGGAAAGTGTCAAGTGATGGTGGAGCATTCTGTTCTTTCTTTACCTAGAAGTCATCTAGTCTGAGGTTTTCTCGTTTTCCTGTGTTGCTATGAAGACAAATGCATGCATTCTACGGTCATTTATGTAAAGTGACTTGGGGCTCTTCCTTTTGGTTTGGGGACTAGATATTGACACTGATGGTTAATGCTTCCCCACTTTCCCTTGCTAACATCAGCTGGTCATGTGAAGGATTGCCTAATGGTTTGCACTTTTATGAGAAATTAATGCTTTGTTTTTGCTATTAGACTCTTAATTCTGATCTTAGTGTGTACTGCGTGGCATTTCTAAGTTAGTGGGTTAACTTAAAGCCCTGCAGAAATAAAAAATTTAGCAAATTTATTATTATTTTTACTTCCCTATTCGTTCCCTTTTTATTTCAACAGTCTTTAATTAGCAGCTTGTGTAGTATTCCTTGTCTTGAACTTCTGGTAGTGCATGTAGGAGAGAGCTGTTAAATGGGTACTGTGTATCTGTTAAATGGAGTGGAATTTATTTATCTTCTGAGGTCTATTTGTGATTCTGAGGTTTCTTTAATGGTAAAAGCAATGCAAGGACTGTATACACAGGCTGAGATGCTAGTTTCTCACTAGTGAAATACTTGCCTAAAAGTCATGTTAATGTGCACCATTTATTATTTTAGCAGTGATAAATGACTTTGAGGGAATGTAATTTTTTGACCACTGACCTTCTCAGTTTTACAGCTTATGCCAACAGCAAATTTAACAAACAAACAAACGACTACTTTTGGCTGAACGTGGCCATTAGTCAGCATATCTAAGAGAAAAGGTCTGCTTAAGATACTGTAAAATGCATTATAATTTCTATGTATATTTGCTATTTGTCATAACTTTAGCTATCTGTTTTAAAGTTAAGCTACTTCTGATGTTGACTGTTAACCACTAAAATGATACTTTACTAGTGATTACTTTTTTAATTAAGCCCATGTATTAGCTATAAAGCCACTTGAGTGCATTGTAAATAAAACGGTGTAATAATGAAGTGCTTTAATTACACTCCCTGAAGTATGCATAGTTCTCAGTAAATTTTTTTTATTTAAATTCTTAACATGTTCCCTTTTTTTTTCTTCTGAAAAGCAGTTTGAATTGCTGTAAAGATGGAGTTCCAGCCTTTAAAGTCATTTGAGCAAATTCCATGGCTGTTCTCTAGTTAGTGAGTTTTCACAGCGTTTGCAGCAAGCTAATTGCTTCTGCTAATAAATAATCTAAAATCGATGCTGACAGCAGTTAATTGGCACAGAGACTTTATTCTGTAAAGCACTTGGCTAACGACCTTCCTTAAATTAATAGCATTAAGTGCTATGAGGAAATAAATCTAAGGAATTGCCTGTCATGTGCTTGTCATGTCTAATAACTTCCAATAATGATGGCTGATAGATTTTTGCACATTCCATTATTGAAGTTGGTGCATGTAATTATTCTCCTCATTATATGTAAACAATTAGCAATATTTGGTGTTTCCTTGCAATAAAGCTGTTAAATACAAGTAGCCCGTTAGAGTTGCTAAACTTTTGGAAGGAAAATTACATGTCCATTGTATGCACCAAATCTGCAGTTATCTGAACATGTTATGTGAGTTACATCTGAACATGACTCATTGAGTAGAGCTTCACAATTTGGTAACTTCTGTATGTTGGTTGTGAATAGGTGTGTGAAGAAAATGCTGAAAGAATTCTGTTTTGATATGTGGACCCTTTTGTTTCCAGCTTGAGGAAGTGATGGAGAAGGAAACATACAAGACTGCTAAACTAATTCTTGAAAGGTTTGATCCAGAATCAAATGCAAAGGTAAGAATTTTTATTGATAGTGAGTTAATGTAAAAGGTACCATGGAGTTGTACATTCAGATAATGTTATTTATAATTAATTGGCAGGAGGCTGAACTGCCATCTGCTGGAACATCTGCAACCTCAAGACCTGGACAAGGTAATAGCCCTGTAAAATGGCTGCTCTTTAGCAGAGATGCTCATCTGTCATCGCAGTTTCCACTTTTGGAAGTCTCTCTGTAATAAAATTTGTAGATTGATTGACCTTTATTTAGGGTTAATAGACTGTTTATTATACTATGCCTGTGGATGTTCCTTATTTTTTCATAGAGTAGATCTGTTAGTAAATACTGATGCTCTTCTAGGCAATGTTAGCATCAACATTACACAGTGATGCATTAAAATCAAGTTCTTGTGTCACATACTTGTTTCATATGAATACTAAATGGCTGTGAAATCTAATACTGTGTTCCTTGACTTAATTTTCCAGTTATGCTACATTATCTGTTTAGTCAGATATTTCATAATGCAGCACTTAAATTACTTTTCTATGGCAGATGGGTTGATTTCTCAAAGCTAGTGCAGAAGTGGTGTTAGGTAATAAAAATGAATTTCACTAGTTTGTCACAAACAAAATATACTTGGATTTTCCTTAAAGTTGAGTGTAACATGCTGTATTGTATTATTAACAGTATTGTTAATATGCTTATTAACTGTAGCATTTTCAGTCTAAAGGCCACCCGGTATAGTGTTAATGAAGGTGGCTTGCTTACTTGCTTTGAGACAGTCTAAAGAGTTTTTTGCTGTTTTAACCAACTCAGACCTGTGGGGGTTCATACTCAAAATAAACTGCAGAATCTGATGTACGTAATTTCCCATGGAAGAAACGCTGCTCTGGAACATAGACAAAACTTAAGAGTTTTAACATAATTCTTGGATGAGAGATAGACAAGCCTGTATTTCTTTCATTTTTCATTCTTGAAATACTGTTTTTGTAGGTGCACAGCGCTTGTATTTGTGCTGTTTGGCTTTATTTTCTGAAATGAGGAGACCTGTTTTCTCAGTAGTCCTTGTTTTGTATATGCAGTAATTCATTAATTCAATTTTTAGATATCAAAAGTGTTAGCTTATTGTTTTTCATGCTAAATATCTGCCCCAAACAAATACACTGCATGGCACAGAACCTAACTTAACTTACTACAACTTACTAGATGGTGCCTTATTGTGGTTATGGTATAACTTACTGTATATGACATACAGCAGAATTAGTAATTTGAAATTCATAAAATAGCTGATAAGTGAACATCTATACTTCCTTAGACTTCTTTTGTCTCAGTTTGGAGGCAAGCTGATCAGGGAGCAGAACTCGTTACCTTAAGCACTGGATAGATAATGACCAGTCAGATTGGACTTAAAGTTGTACGCAGCAGTTGGTGGAAGGTTAGTTGGTATATGGTTAACTTGCAAGTTGAAATAGAAACTCACACATCTAACAAATTATTTAGTTCAAAGATTTTTATCATTCAGCTTCGCATAGTAGTTAACTCTCAGAAAACCACTGGTGATAGAACTAGAGGGAATGGCTTCAAGCTGTGCCAGGGGAGATTTATATCAAATAGTACTTTTCTGAAAGAGTGGTCGAGTGCTGGAATGGCTGCCCAGGGAGTTGGTGGAGTCACCGACCCTGGGGGTGTTCAAGGAGCATTTGGATTTTTGTGTTGAGGGATGTGGTTTAGTGAGTACTATTGGTGAAAGGTAGTTGGTTGGGCTGGATGATCTTGTAGGTCTTTCCCAACCTTGATGTTTCTGTGATTTCTGAGAGTTTGAACTTATCACAGTGAAGAAATGAGACCCTGCGTTGATCATTCAGCAGCTTCATTGTGTGCTGCTTAGCTCTTTTCAAAGTTTTTGTGATTTTTTGATGCACTTGTTAATTAATACAATTCATCTCTTAAAATTACAGTTAGTCTCGATGTTTGCTATTAGAAAATCCTGGAAATTCAGAAGGAGGGGAATTTGAAAACTGAAGTGTGATTTTTATGTTTTCAGTGCTTTGAGGGGTGGAGTTAATGTTCAGAACTCTGTCCTTATGAAGAAAATAAAGTAAGTGGGGAAAAAAAAACACAATAATATCCTGTTGTTACCTGTTCCCTTCAATGTGCTGATACAGCTGTTAGCAGTGCTCTGTAATTGAGATCGCTGCATGACCTGAATTTAAAAACAGTGCAATAACAGATGGTTGCAAGTTGTGGGTTGGGTACAGACACCAAGGATAAAGAAATTCTTGGTTCATCTTTGCCATTAAAGCCAACAAGTTTGTGAACTATGTCTTGACTGGCATTGTGCTGTAGATATTTTAAAAACAGTGTACACAAATCAAGTTTTGAAGTGAAGGAGAAATAAAATACCTTTGCTCTTAAAAGTGAAAGATACAGCTGTCTCACCAGTAGCAATATCTCTATAAACCTGCAAGAAATCATACTGAACCATCAGTTGGGAATAGCCATTTTAATCTATCTGCTTATGTATGAGTATTGTTCAGTGCCAGTAACTGAGGGGTCAACGCACCTGAATTGAGGGAACTTAGCACACCTGAAGGATAAAAGGCCCATTTTCAAGTTACTCGTCTGTCTTCTTACAGATAATTTACAGATGGAAAGTATTCATTTATGGGGGGGGGGGGGGAAGGAGGTGAAGAAACCTTTGAAAACTGCAAAACTTAATTCAAACTACTTCATCAGTTGCTATATATTGTTAGAACAGAGACAAAATGGACACTTTCTTCAATTAACTCGTGGGACTTTCATTATGGAAACCTGAAAGTTTACAAGAGGTTCGTAATTAACATGCAATATATTATTTATAGATGATTTATACTTTTTGGGCAGAATTTTACAAGCTGCAAATGAGTAAATGAAGAGAGTAGTTGTTCTAGTGCGGGTTAATTTGAAATGTTGCTAGTAAAATCTCTCACAAAAATCTCTCAGTGTTGGTGAGACGTTTATCGTAGATAAATTCTCAATTGAAATTCAATTTCTGACACAGGATTAGTTTTAAAAGTAGGAACATGTTACCAAGGAGACCTTTAAGGAATTTCTGCAACCTCACCAATTTATCCTGTTATGCAGATCTAGAACAGTTTAAATGAGGGGACACATTGTACTTGCTAATACCAACTTCAAAGCATACAGAATCTTCGTACTTGTTGGGTGATCTAAACTGCAAGATGAAGTGTCAGTTAATGCAGCAATGTGCATGATAACGTAGAAGGGGAAGCTAATAATGTGTTCTGCTTAGTAGGAAACTGAGCTAGGTAGAATTTTTTTTTTTTTTTTTTTAGTAAGACTGGTTGCAGTCTTCTGACTGTGGATGATGATATTTTTCTTCCTTTTGGTGTACACTAATGCTATATATATATATACACACACACACACACACACACACACACACACACACACACACACACAGATTAGTAGGCCAGAACATAGCCTACATGTTGCAGTTTCATAGCACTAGGTGTTGGCAATTGACCTAACTGAACTTTTGTTTGACCTGATGCTCCAGTGATAGCAACTCTTCCTTGGCTAGTGTAAGCTCATGTTACATGCTCACCACCCCCCATAGCACATACGAAAGCTTAGTGTGGTACAGAGGTTGCTCCTTCAGACTTCAGCACACCCATCTCCCCCTGGCCATCCAGTTGCTAATGAGTTTACTAACTTGCTGGGAGCTGACACTCCAGCCTGCCAGAAACTCAGCAGTCTCTCCAATCTTGAAACTCAGGGAGTTGAATTGAACGTCCAAGCCAAATGTTAAATGCTTTATTTTATTTTTTAAAGATAAGCAAGTTCAGTCAAAATATTGTGGGTGCTGGGGACTAGTTTTGGAGGCTATTGGTTAGTGTCTGGTGTAGCCATTTTGGGAGTACAGTTTTAAGATTAAGCCATCATATTCTAACAGTGTTAATGTCTGGAGTCCTGAAGTGAGGGTTAATTTCGAAATACTCTACTGTAAATAATTAAATTGAATGTTCTTTGGAGGTAACATGATATAGATAGGATGAGAAATAGTTCAGTGGTTGCTATTCCTGGTCACTGATCCTACCTTGCTTTGGTGAACAAACTTGTATATAAATGTAATAGAACTTCAAAATGTCATGACTCGATTAAAATATCTAAACCATAATATATTACTGGGATGATATTCCTTTTTTTTGTTAATGAGAGCTTTGTCTTGGTGGAAGAGAAGCTGAAGAAACATATAAAAATGTTCTTAGAAATAATAGTAACTCAGTGGTCACAGATTGAGATCAAAGTAAAAGTATGTGAATGATGTAGTAGAGTCTTTTCCTGCTTTGTGACAATCCAAACATGTGGCTTGTTGGTACATTTATTGAAAAGAGGGAACAGAACTGTATTACCTATTTAAGATTAGCAGTGTAATATTTTGTTGTCATTCTAGACTTTTATTTTATACAATCTGAAAGTTTCTTAATAGCACTGGATACTTAACCTGGATATTTTAGGCAATGACTGAATAGTTTTTATTCCCATGGAAAATGAAATGCTTGGAAGTGTGTTTAAATCATAGAGTAAAACAGAAATAACAGGTTCCATCTGTGCTTTCTGGTTGGAATTTATCTGTTTATCTGTCCAACTTTCTGCTTTAGAGTACAAGATTATAAGGTAAGCATCTGCTAATTTTCTTCTGGAAGTCTTTTACCCCAAGTACACAGTTAATGATCGTTACTATTAAAAACATAGCATTCTGTACAGGCTGTGTTTCTATGATATGCTCAACCATTCAGTGGCAATCTTTAGTTATAGGCCTTTCTGGTTTTATTTGACTCGGTTATTTCTGGCTGATTAAAATAGCAGGCTAGTGATATTAACGTACTTATTTTTTGCTTATAGTGTTAGATGTTAAAATAAGTATGTGCATATCTTGTCAGAAATTCGTCAGAGGACTGCAGCTCAAAGAAATGCTTCTACACCCACACCTGCTACTCCTAAGCAAGGCTCTCCAAAATCACTTGTTTTGGCAACACCATCTCCTAATCAGCAGAGGGATGCATCTGCTCTTACTGGACAACCAGAAAGAACTGCTGTGCCACCCTTGCAGTCAAACATTCTACCAAGACGCCCTGGATCCCCAGCTACTTCAGTGCCTGGAATGGGTAAACAGAATGCTTACTGTTATTTACAGTTTATATTGTTTTTTCTGGTTACCTATAAAATAGGCCATTTTCAGACAGTATGGAAATGGCATTTCATTTGGAAATTGCAGAGCAGTTATCTGATTAAGCAGGAGTTCCATATTCAATTAGCTATAACTCTTTACAGCTGGCACCTCTTGATGCTGAAACCTATTGCCTGAGCTCATTTAACTGTTATGGCTTCTTTGTTTAAATGGCAATAAAACTTTGCAGTGTTCTGTAGTCAACAATATAGCATACCTTTTTATGTTCTTAGTTTAGAAGAACTCTACAGTTGTATAAATCAGATATAGAGGAGAACAGTTTCTGAACACATTCATGTTTCTGACTAAACCCTGCACATATTTTTTTAACATGCATCTTGACATTTATTTAAATTTTTACTTCAGCAGGTATACTCAGGCAATCTATATTCATAGATTTAAAGTATGAAATACCAAATATGCTAGAAGAATTGTCTGTGTTGTATCTGGATTTTTTTCTAAAATTGCACGTTAGTTTGGTGCAATAGTCAAAAGTTTACCAGCAGGTCAAAATCCTGTAGAAATGAATGCTCCTTAAAACTTGGTTTCATATTCTGGAAGTATTTTTCCTTTTGTTTCTGGTTTCCTGTTGTGAAGGAATGAACTTAATTGAATTGAGCATGTGCCATTTGGTTTAGGGAGGGATGCTAAAATTTGGGAGATTTTGAGAGAAGGAGAGGTTTTGTTCTGCTCATTGAAGGTGAATCAGTAGGGGTCAGATCCAGGGTCTGTTTTTTGTAAATTGTTGCAGACATTTGTTGCAGAATGTTTGGCAAGTTGGATCTCAAGACAGTGGAGGAGATCACAATCTCAAAAATATAGATTCCTTAGAGTTGGGAGGGACCTTTAAAAGCCACCTAGCCCAACTCCCTTGCAGTGGAACAGGGACACCACAGCTACGTCAGGTTGCCCAGGGCCTGATCTGGCCTCACCTTAAAAGTTTGCAGGAATGGGGCATCCACTGAATCTCTAGGTGACCTGTTCCAGTGCCTCACCACCCTCACTGGAAGAAGGCTTTTTCCATATATCCACTCTAAATCTACCCTCTTTGAAACCATTTCCCCTTGTGTCACCACAGATCCTTCTGGAGAGTCTGTCCCCTTCTTTCCTGTAGCTCCCCTTCAGATATTGAAAGGTCTTCCTCAGGTCATGTTGGAGCCTTCTGTTCTCCAGGCTGAATAGTCCCAGCCCTTTCAGCCTGTCCTTGTAGGAAAGGTGTTCCATTCTATAGATTATTTTTGTGGCCCACTTCTGGATGTGCTGCAACATGTCTATGTCTCTTCTGTACTGAGGAATTCACATCTGGCTGTAGTACTCCAGGTAAAGCCTCACCAGTGCAGAGTAGAGGGGTAGAATCAGCCCTCATGACCTGCTGGCTGCACTTCTTTTGATGCAGCCCAGGGTACAACTGGCTTTCTGGGCTGCGAGGGCACATTGTTGGCTTACGTCCAGCTTCCCATCCATCACTACCCTCAGGTCTTTTTTGGTAGGGCTGCACTCAAACCTTTTGTCCCTGAGCTTGTATTTGTAGTGAGGGTTGCCTCGGCCCAGGTGTAAGACCTTGCACTTGGATTTGTTGAACCTCATGAGGTTCACCTGGGCCCACTGCTTAAGCCTATCTAGATGCCTCTGTATGGCACGCCATCCACGTCATTGAAGGTGGCGTGGTGACTACATCAGCTAATTTCCTTAAATTCTGGGATGTGTCTCATCAGGACTCGTATTCTTGTGGATGTTAAAGTTCCTCAAGTGGTCATGGGGATGCAACTTGCCAAGATTCTTTTCAGCACCACTGTAATTTGGTGCAGTGTTCATGAGTAGCGATCTGTTTACTGCGCTTTGTTAAGCCTTGTTACTGCTTAGTAATTGTTTACCTTTATTATGAAACTGCTAAATTTGTTTTTATCCCTGAAGTGAACTATAATGGCAAGATATTAATACTTGATTATCTTGAAGTACTGTAAATTAGCTTCACACACCAAGGAAGTGGTCATTTGGGTTCAAAAAGTGTTTACTGAAACCTGCTTGTTGGAAATTCTTTAATGAGCTTAAAATCACATGTTCCTTCTTGGTTAAGATGCTGGCTTTGTAATCAAGTATCAGCAGTCTGCAAGTTTTCTTATTGGGAAAAAAGACATCATTGGGTACAATGAATAAGCTGGGTGAATTTTAGCCCTTACTTGCAGAAAGGATTTAGAGGAGGAAGAAAAATTAGCTTGTTTAAAAGGACAGTTGCCAAGACTGTTAATTAAAATATTTAATGTGACTTTGACAGTGCTTTGTATGCATGTGCGTTTTTTCTACTTAAACGTTAGTCTGTTGCAGCAGTGTTCTGTTGTATGCTGTAACTGTCAGTGTCAGTGTGGAAGCCTTGTTTTCTCTTGAGTTTTCCCAAACCTTTCAAGCATATAAAATCTTAGTCATGCAGCTGTAGTGGGATGTAAATTCACTATCTGTAAGAGTAATATCATTGCCTGTAAGTTTATGCATGGCTTGCAACAAATGTGAATAGCCTTAATTATCTCTAAAGTAGAGAAGATTAATAATTCATTTTCATTATACTATATTTTGTAGAGGAGAATCAATTTAACGTGTATTACCACGGAGCTCCCATATGTTTGAAAATTAATAACCAGCAGGTAGTTGAGAGTTTGCCAAGCTTTGCAAAAATGACCAGTCTTTCTACAATGATTGCTTTTGATGTTCATATTAATTACTGGTGTCCATAACAGCATGAGAACTAAGATGGTTGGTTTGAGTTATTAGTAGTCAGGTAATTGAAGTTTTCCTTGGAGCATGTTGTAATGCTAGGTTGTTTTACTTAAATTTTACCTTTTTTAACTACTGGAAACTTTGTTATGATATATGAGGCATATAAAAATTTGGTCTTTTGGATATTAATCAGTGTTTGAATACTAACCAGATATTGAGGAAAAAAAAATGGTAGTTTCAATTTTATTGCAGATTATATCAGTCTTCCAAATCTTTGCCGTTGCACTCATATGTTAAACATTGACCATTCGCTTTTTTTTTTTTTTTTTTTAATGGAAGCACTGAGTTTTTTCTTTTTCTTTTTTTTTTGTGAAGCCTTAGGAAATTCAAGTTTCACTTGAAGTTTTCTCTGGCCAGCCTTTGGAAAAAAATCTGTAAAATGTAGGGTTCTGCCTAGTTAACATTGTAGTGAATTTCTTCTGGTAACTGCTTTGAGGTTTTTCTTTGTTTTAAGTACTACTTGTTTGCAGAATACAGGAATATCTTGAGAATGCTGATTTATGTCGCCTGATTTCAGTTCTTTTGTGAAAAGGAGGATGATTTTAAAAACAAAACAAAAAACAAACAAACAAAAAGCTCGATATGTTAAGAATGAAACTATGTGCTTATTGGAGACATGTAAATTGCGATATGTTCTGATCAAATCTTACTGTTTATGTGTAGATCAGGACAAACCATCTAGGTCAGTTTTCAAGAATTGATGAGAAGCATTTTCTTTTAGAAAAAGTACCCTTAATAACGAGATTAATCTCACTCTCAGTGTAGGACTGTGAGAGGACATAGCTCCAAATGTTTGAGACCTACTTTGTGAAACAGTGTTTTTTTTTTTTTTTTTTTTTTTTTTTTTACACCTTAGGAGATGTAGATATATTACTATTGAACTTCAGGTTTACAACTGATTGTAGTGCATTTTGGCTGTGAATCTTCCCTTCGCTTGCATCTGTGAGGTTAAAAGATAAAAGGCTTGAGAGAGAATTGCTGTCGGTTACATTTAATGCTGTTTAAGCAGAATGCCCATCTTAGATCAGCTTATTAAGTGGCAAGAGCTGCTGTGTTGTCTTTGCCTCTGTATACCCATAGCGTACATGTTGCTTCTCTGTGGGTGCTTATGAAGGAATCTCCTCAAAGTTACTGGAAGGAATGACTTCAGCTAGGGGCAGCTAGGGCATGCATAAAAGGGCTACAGAAAAGATAAATTTATCTTCCGTGAAGCTTGAAGTCTGCTCTTTTTTTTTTTTTCTTTTTTCCTTGTAGTGTCTTTCAATTAAATGTCCTTCTGAATTAGTTCAACTAATCCAATCTATGAAACACATTTCCAAGAAAAATACTGGAATAGAGAATCAAAAGCTGAATGTGTGGTCACTGAAAGCCCTTCTAAGCTATGTGTTTTATATAAGTGTTTTTATTGGATATATTGAATAGTTACAAGCCAGAACTCTTCCCTGAGAGAATAGGAGTTGCTTTTTAGGCTTCGAGAATTTTACTCCTAAGGATTAAATATACTCAGTTTTGCATGGCTTCAGATTACCCCACATTCATTTCTTTCTCCTTGGCATTGAGCAAAATCATAGCAACAGGACAAGTTGTCTGGAACTAATGCTGTATGTTGACCCACGAGGCTATAGCATTGTTCAGCTGTAAGTATTTTTTCCTCTGTGATGTGTTAGACGTTTAGTTAATGAGCTGCCAAATATGATTTCAGATGCTGTAGTAGCTTTTTCAACTGCTGAATGAGCTTTCAAGTATAGGTATTAGTCTCTTGGGTTAGTGCGTGTAGCATGGTCTTTGTCTCAGTTAATTGTGTGAGATCCTGGAAGGAACCTCTTCTTATCATTAATGTGGATGAATTCTGGACTGAATAATATGCAGAATCCTTGCTCACGTAAAGAGTCATTTCAGGTCAGAATTCAGAAGGCAGGACTTTGGAGGAAGTGTGTATTCTCACAACAGTGCAAAGTGTTCGAGCTGTAGAGCAGACTGCAGTTAATGTAACCTTTAAAAAGAATCTGAAGGGTTGGGATATAAAGTTAATCTTGAGTAGTAAAAGTGGTCTCAGAAGGATGTGTTCTAAGGTTCTGTCCTTTAAGATGAGAAATCAGATGTTTTCAGTTGGTAGCACTTATTTGAAATTAACCTGATGTGGATGTTGGCTAGTGATTGGACACACAATTAAGAGATTTAACTAAAACTAATTGATCAAGCAGTTTTTCAAACTGAAGCATTGTCTGTAGCCTGCAGGTATAACAATGTGATATGCCAGTTCTGGGAGGCATACATCTTGTTGCATAGAATTACTGTGGATTAAAAGCAGTATTTCCTTTAAAATAGTTACTATTAATTAACAGAGAAGTGGAAGGCAGTATATGTTGCCGTATAATCTGATAAATGTGTTAAATTTTTGAATGTACTGTAACTTATCTTGTGTGTATAAAATGGCTTTTGGCCAGGAGTGTCCTTGATTTGAAATGCTTGCTATTTGAGTGGTCAGTTTTTATTGTATCTGTTCACTATGTCTAACTTCTTCTGTGTCAAGACTAGAAGGGGAGATAGAAGTGTGAATGTAAGTGACATATGGAAATTGGTAGTTTGTGATGGTGTTGAAGCAGACCAGAGGGTTTCAAAATTTGTTGGAAAACAAGTGTGTGCCATTGCTGTGCTGTAATTGCTGTATGTGAACAGAGATGAAGGTGGTAGCACTGAATGTTGTTACTTGTTTTTGAAAGGAGTTCTATTTTGGTAGTAATCAGGCACATACAGAAATATTTCATATCACTGATCTTCTGACTACTTTGACTAAGCACAGGTCTGAAAATATCCAGCTTTCCAACAAATATTAGATTACCAAAGTATCAGATGTCTGGGTATGTTTAATGTGTAGACTGAATACATGCGGTACATATTTTCAGTTAGTTCAGTTCCTGCCTAGGGACTGCAGAAGCCAATGGGTGCTTCTTTGGTAGTGTCCTTACTTATTCTTTTGCTGTTGGATTGATTTTCCCCCTCCCCCCCCAGATTTGTTGGCATGAACTTGGAAAACTACATATGCAGATTTGAAAGTGTGTTAAGAAAACTCAAAAAGGAGCAGCACTTTTCTTAAAAAGTCTATAATTCTCAGTCGTCATTAACTACTATTGATACATTGTTTTCTAGAAATAAATTTAACAATGTGTAAAAGTAAAATGAGTTAATGTAAGCTGAAGGAGAAGGTGAACTTTCAACTGTTGTGGGTTGAGAAAAAAATTAAAGCTTTCCTAGTAAATGAAGGAATATACATTTTATATTGAGTAGGTGGGATTTTAATGGCACTAGCATGCACATGTGATGGATTATATACAACTTAGTTGAAAATCCATTTGATACTTTTCATGTCTTCCTAGGTCTTCATCCTCCAGGCCCTCCTTTAGCAAGACCTATTCTTCCTCGAGAGAGAGGAGTTATGGATAGAGTTATTGAATATTTGGTTGGTGATGGTCCTCAGAACAGGTAAGACATTGCTTAAGGGAGAATGCAAACAGTTGAGTTAGGGAACTTAACCCTTTTTTTATTTAAAAAAAAAAAATAAAAAAAAAATAATCAGAAGGGTCAAGACTGTAAGTATTGCACATTTTTAAAATGAAATGGCTGCTGCTTAGTGCTTCATGATGTCTGTAGGGAAAATGGTAACTACTTTGAATGGTATTAGCCATGATATAGAAGTAATAAACCTTGATACTCAAGTAGGTGAATAAATTGTTCAAGAAACCCAACCATTTATTTATCTTTTCACTTCAACTTTATTACTATTATAAATGCTTTGCCTTCAGAACTGTCCAGACATATCTGAACTCCCATATTAGCTGTGGTCACTAATGTGGTACAAATATTTAAATGGTTTTGATGTTATTTTCTGAAAATACTAGTATTAAAAGTCTATTCAACTATGAACTCTAAATTGTAGCTGTTTCTAAACCAACTTGAAAAATTAAGTATACAGATTTAGTTGGCCTTTAGTATCAATTTCACTGTGCAAATTAATTTTTTAGAGTAAATATCTAAGCTATTGGTGTTTAAAGTAAAATGTTTCTCCTGCTTCAGTGCCTTATTACTTAAAGGTACAAAATTAAGTATTAATGTTTTCTAGGTATGCCCTTATATGTCAGCAGTGTTGTTCTCACAATGGTATGGCTCTGAAGGAGGAGTTTGAATATATAGGTAAGAACTCATCTGTAGACTGTACAGTAGACTGTAATAGCTGGCTTGTTTCATAACAGGCATGTGTGATGCTTCATTTTGACTGTGGCAAAATACTCAACTGACACTGTGAAATGCCAGTTCACACAGGAACAGTTTTATGGTAACTTGCTTCTTTGTATCTAAAGATTCACTTTAAGATTTGAAGAAGTACTTTACTGCAACTTCCAGGACAGGGATTCTGTGCCAAAAAACTACTCAGTAGAAACAAACCTCCTCCAATGCATCCCTGAAAATTGCTTTGAACGGTTCTCAGAAGGGTTTTATGTTCAGAAACGATCTGACACTAAAGTATTCCTTTTTAACCAGAACTTAAAATTTTGCTTTGGCAAGAAGGTCTTGGGGAGATATTGGAAAAGGACTGGGAACAAGCCCTGGGAGGCTATATGTGAATTTATGGCTGACAATAACTTAAGACAGACACGGCTCGTTATTGAACACAGATGTTTTATTTTGCCTTCTTTCTACCACAAGTGTAGGCTTGATGTTTGAAAAATGAGGAAATGCTAGATAAGTCTATTTAATCTTGTTTCTCTTAATTTTGTGAGAAAATATATATCATTTTAAAAGAATGAGATGAAAGTTTCCTCTGAGTCTGAATATATTTAGTCTATATGTCATTCCTTGCTCAAGTGTATTCACAGCTCTGGTGTGCAAGAGATGACCATTTCCCCCCACTTGTGTCTTGGTGAAAATATGTGTTTAACTGTATAAAATGTGTTATGTGGTATACAGTATTTTGGAAGAAAATTGCCTTTTCTTAACTAAGCATCACTGGAGCTGAATGCTCCTCTAAGAGCAAATAGTGAGGAAATGTGTTAGAGTACATGGCATCCTTTTACTTGAAAAACAAGCACAGTGACATCTTAATAAGAAGGTAATCTGCCAGCTTAGGTCTTCTGTAGGAAAGAATAGAACAGCATGTGACAACAATTCACGGTACTGATTTGCATTATTTTTTTTGTCGTCTAATATTTCACAATTATGGGCAAAAATATCCATACTGAAGTGCAGCAGAGCTGAAAGCAAACAGGTATTTAATAAGTAAATGTGTGCTGAAGGGAAGGAAAAAAAGCTAAATAGAACACTTGTAGAAATTTGATGGGAATATGCTTAGGTGTTGGTAGTCATTTAATTGTCTTTATAGTATTTTGGACAGTCAAGATATTGTGCGGGGGTAGGGTGAAACGGTGAAATCGGTCAGTGAGGCTAATTACTGGATGTGCTTTTGTGCAGCATTTAGGTGTGCCTACTGCTTTTTCCTGAATCCTGCAAGAAAAACGAGACCTCGGGCTCCACGGCTACCAGACTTCAATTTTGAAAAAAAGCAACTTCCAGAATTGCAGTCGGAAACAGAGCGTCCAGAATCAAGAGAGAGAGAACCGCAGGGGAATCGGCAGACAGCAGGTACGTGCTCACCTCGCCAAGTCTGCTCTTATTTAATGCCCAGTGAAATTGCCATTTCCCATGCATGCAGCTATTGAATGTGCCAACTGTTATTGATATGAAGTCTGTATGTTTGTCTTTACTGTACGTTGGGATTTCTCTACCTGGGTGACTTTTTTTCTATAGAAATAGCTTCACAAGTAGGTACAGTCTATAATTTTTCCAATCTTTTTGTTCCTGCTTCTAGCTTAACTTGTTGATGCTGCTGTTTTTTGTCCCAAACTCCAAAGTTTCTTGATATCATGCAGTATGTTCAGCACAAATGATATCACAGCAAAATTATTTATACTGTTGTTACTGATAAACACATGGAAAACAGCACTGTAAATAAATTAAGGAGGGAATACATCTCGAAGTGGTTAACTTCAACTGTGTTCAGCAGGTCATTTGATTAAGTTGCATTGGAATTACTGCCTTTGTTCCTTTTGCTGTTTTCCTCAGGGCAGGAAAATCTAGTAAAAACCTCCTTGTTTAAAATCAAGGAGTTCAAAGACAAATTGTCAATTTTAATTTAACATAGTTCCTTTTGAGACATTTTATAGTCTGCAGATACAGTAGGCATCTGGTGTACAGCCAACAGGAAGATGCAGTGTTTTAAAAGACTTTGGAAATTATAATTCAGAACTAAAGAATCTCTCTACTTGCATTTTGCATTGGTTCAAATCAGGGAGTATGTTGGAAAAAGTTATGAGATGGTACAGACCTGATATTCAGACTGGAAGTTCATCAGATTGTAACTGTCAGATTGTGACAGAATACTTGTTTACTCTTTAACACTAAGTACAAAATGGCATGGGAATGCTGATTAAGACTGGTAGGGAAGGCTTATCATCTCTGTGGGTGCAGTCTGATGAAAGGTGCATTGCAGGGAAAACTTGCTTGACTTCTTTTCCTGTCAAAGCAATGCTTGTGACAGGGCAGCTTTCCTCAGCTAGTTTCAGTGTAGTTCCCCAGCCAGTTATTGGCTCACCTGAAAGGATGATGTATCGTGGAGCAACATACAGGAGGGAAGAAATTCCTTCTGACATAGATTGAGAAGCTCCACATTCAAGTATTTATTAAGACAGCATATTTTATTTCTCTCCCCTTGTGTTTGCCAGCGTGCCACAGTTTACAATCTGCTTTATGTATGTAGATATAGCTGTCTAACAGTTTTATTCACACAACTGAGGAGATGGAGAACTATGGTCGAATGGCAGCAAAGATAAGTGTACTTGACTACTTAAATGTACTTTTATGATAATAGCATTGAAACAAGAACTAAATCATGTGTGAAGCCAAACCATGCAAATTTCACCTCTGCCCTCTAATTATCTGATCTTTTCAGTGAATAGTGGATGGACTGATAAATTCGTGGCTACTTTTAAAGGCAGAAGATTGTTGTAGAAAAGATAGTGGTTGTTAATGGTGCCTTCAAAACTCAGGCTTTCTTTTTCTGTATGAATCAAATGGAGAAGCTCCTGCTTCTTGGAGATATGTGCCTTGAGGACATCTGAATAATGTTCAGCTGCAGCCTTTTAGAGCTTTTGAGAGAGGGTGTGCTAATTAAGCTAGTATTATCTTTGAAGTAATGTTTATCAAACTATACTTTTAATGGGTCTGAGCTGTTGAGTCAGTTTATAGATGTTGTTAAAAAAAAAAAAAGCTTTAAGAATTAGTGTGGGTTTTTCATTAGGCAGTTGAAATGTGGGAGTGAAAATTCTGTGAAATACTTCTTTTTTCTGAAAGTAGAATTTTCAAGTAAAAATGGCTTTCTTTTTTTGTAGAAGTGATATTTTTGATTTACCTTTTAACACTGAAAATTACTTTTTTTTACCTGGTTGTGATCTTCATATTTTGGTGTGCTTCTTTAACTTAAAACAACAACAACAACAAAAAACCAACAAAAATTAAACCACTGTGGGGGTCATTCCCTACTTAGCTTTTCCTGCTAAGAAGTATATGCTGAAACTTTTGGAGGAGAAATTAGAACTTGGTGCATTGACTTTTGTTTCTATGTGGTTTAAATGCCTGAATCTTTTCTGAATATTTCATCTACAGAGTATGAACCATTCTGTTTTGATAATTAGTAAGCAGCCAGCATAGAGCATGCGTTAATATTTAACCTAACTAATATCTGAAGCATGTCTTGCTGATATAATATATGCTATCCTGTCTGTCGCTGTGCATAACTGCCTGTGTCCTGCCACAAAGTAATGTCTTACGAATGAGAAAATATCATTTTCAGTAAATCACTTTTTCCATCAGAACCCTAATTTGAAGCATAACTCTGCTTACTGACAGTTGGGCTGTATTAATAAATGAGCATCTTCCTTGATTGTAATTTTGAGTTGTGAAGGTATAGCTCTGGGGAAGCCTTTTGTTCACAGTGGTAATATAAATGCTGTCATGGCAAGAATAGAATATCTTCGCTTGTGATGTGAACAAACGTTAACATCAAGAAACCAAACTCACCACAATATTGACAACACAGGGATATCCAACACTTATGTACAATTTGTTTAAACCATAGCTATATAGCTTGAAGAAACTGCAGACTAATGAGATACAGAAGTGCTATAAATGTTTTTTTTACCATCAGCTACTTTACTAATGAATGGAGCATGAAGCTCAATCTTTTTTCTGCTGTGTGCTTGCACAGTGAAGCATGCTACATGGTACTTCTATAGATAAGAGATCTGAAGAATGGTTGTGTGGAGTGCTACTGGCACTGAACCTTGGCCTTTGTAATCCTCTGGAAATATGAAGTCATCAGCTGTCAGTCTGATGCCGATTACTGGCACAAACATTGTTTTGCTATTCAGCTGTGTAACTTAGGAGATTTTAGTACCAGAATGAAACCAAATACTTGAGTTCTTAAGAAAAGAATTGATCTCAATTTTTTTTGTTTTTTCCTATCAAAGGCAGGTCTCTTATGAACATCTTAAAGTATTCATGTTTGGATCTTATACTGGGGGTAGAAACACACCATGAATTACTTTCACCTTTGTGGTTAATTCTGCCTTCCCTGTGTTAGGTGCTTCTGCTCTGTTCTTGACGTAGACTTATCATATAGCAACGTTTTGAATGTTGAAATTGCAGTTTGACAGCATGAGTATTTTGTAGTGAATATCTGTTACTGATGTTAGATGCCTTTGAACTTCAGATTTCATTGTAGCCATCAGGAGTTTATGAAGATAACTTGTGATCTCCAGGTTTGCATGGTGTTCCCTGGCTGTCTGAATATTCTACAGTTATTTAATGCTCTTGGCATATAGCAACTGTTAGTATGTTTGAGAAGATTTCTATTTACAAGGCAGATGCCGAAACTTGGTTTGCACTTCAATGGAAGCGTTCACAGTGATACTGTTCTCAAAAAATAATTCTATTCTGAGCATATGCTTGAGTTGTACCAAAATTAGAGCTTAGCTTTGGGCAGGTATTTCAAATGGAGCAGAAACATTAGGATTAGAACTGGTAGAAGATAAAACTAAGGAGTAAGTTGGTCAGATGGTCTGTTTACTTGCTTTTTTTAATAATAAGTGGCCAAATTCTGCTTGAGATTTGGCTTGCTTCTTTATTAAATATGCTTTGCTTTCACAGGACAGTGTGAATATGGTATATCTTTGTAAGCCAATTTGTCACTTAAAATATGTGAATTTCTGCCTGCTGTGTTTTGTCTGCTATCTGGTTAACATGGCTAGAGTTCTGTGATTTTGAGGCAGACCTGGATCAGCTTACCTGGAGTTCAATGACTTGTTCACAGTTCTTAGTTTCAAAATTCCATTGTTTTTGTCTGTAGCATGACTATTCAAATCTTCTACTCAATGTGGTAGTGATGCAATATTGTGATTATCACAGGTTATACAATGAAGTACCCTCTAAGAAGAGGGTTAGATGAACTCGTTATGTGTGAAGTACACGTGCTCTGTAAGCATTAAGCAGAGATGGTAGGAAAGAGGGAACTACTGAAGCCAAAACCAGGGCTTTTATAAAGTTGCAACCATAAAGTTCTTAAACTTGCCTTAAAACATCGTAGAGCTGTTTGCTGTTGCTTGTGCACAGCTGCATTCTTCAATTAAATCTGGGATTTGTGATTAATCATCAAGAATGCTACCTTTCTGTGATCATCTTCAAGTTTACTTAAGGAGCTTTTTCTTAGCTACTGTTCCTACAATAATTTAAGGCACTCGGTATGAAGTTAAAATTCAACTAATCAGTGCATTTAAAATGGAATCACTGTGTATATTCAATAAAGATTTATCATATTTATAAGTGAGTTAGCAGTACCATTTCGTATGACTGCTATGGCTTCCTGTTTAAAGAACCTGCTCTTTAGTTCCTTAGCGTTGTCAGACCTTTAATTATTGTACTAACTTTCCAGGTAAGGTTTTCCTTTTCAAACTGAGAGTTTCAGCAGCTTCACGAAGTTTCTTTAAAATTCAGTGAGAGAAAAAGTCGAGTAAAATAACTGACTGTTTTCTTTAGGGAAAGTGCCTCTATTTTTTGGTAGGTTGAAAACAAGGCAGTTCTGCAGAATGCTGAGCATTGTTCAGTTAAGGGCTGCAGGAGCGAGCAGACAAGTGATGGTTGGGTTATGCTGTAGGAGAATTGAGGGCATGCAGTTCTTTTCCTCCCATCCTCTACTTTCTTTGTCACTCGAGCTTCAACAGCTGCAGTAAAGATCTAACATAACTTAAGTGTGGAGGGGCTGGAGCAAGAAAAGGCATAAACTCATTTGTAGTATCTGAGACTGAAGAAAAAAAGCAGAGGTGAGACAAGTAGCAAGATCAAGAATATTCAGTTTTTTATTGGCAGTTCTCAGATGTTGAACTAGATTGTTCTATTTTCTTCTAATTTTCTAATTACCTGACCTGGCTCCTTATGTTTAAAGTAGTTTCCACCAAGTAGAATCTTTTAGAATGTATTTGTATGGAGGTTCAGCTTGAAAAAGCTATACAGTTTGTATTGCTTCCATTACCAAGAATAAAGAAACTGAATTACCATAATGTCTACTTGTAACAATCTCTCACATGAAATGAACAAGCCCAGAAAGATTCTGTTGAGTATGAATGTTCACAAATAATATGTAGTATTTTCAGTGGGGTCTGAACTCTTTTCCACAGCAGTTTCTTTTTTCTTGATAGTTTTACCTTTGGCAGTTGAGAACTTTATGTAATGAAACCTGTATATATGTTTGCAAAATATTTTCATATGCACTTTAGAAATATTAGCTGTTTGCTATTTCTGAAAATAGGTATTGGATTTCTTTTTTTCCCACAGAATCTGAAGAAGTGGCTCAGCTCACTGAGTCAAATGAGACGGATGAGAAAGCACCAAGTGCTGAGCAGTTGAATGATAGTCTTGTTGAAGAAACTGAAAAAGAAGCAGCAGAAAATGCTTCAACAACTGAAGACTCTGTTTCAGATTCTGCTATTTCAACTGAACAAAGTGAGGAATCCTTAATGAAAGCAGAATAAAGTACTTCAAGTGCCTTCTGTAGCTAGTTTTTAGCTTTGTTCATGCCTGTTGTTACTATTCAGGTGAGCTTTTTTAAATGGTACAACTTAAAAATCTCGCTTGAGCTTGAAACTGCCTCAACTGCCACTGTACGTCAAAGCTTTGTGTAAAAGTGGATATTGTAAATTAAGCATGTCTTTAAGTTAACTCACAGAATGTATAGTTGGTTGAAGTCTAACAGTCATAGACGTAGTTCACTATGCATATTTGAAAAACTGAACTTTTAAGTTTTATTAAAGGTGACCCATAACTTGGCATCTCTTTAGCCGTTAACGAACAACTACTGGCCCACAGCTGATTTGGTCTAGTGAATTTAGTCTGGTGAACTTAGATACCTTTTAATGTTTCCCTACTGAAGTAAATTGAGTACATCTTAAATACAGATGTTTACAAATTGAAGTGTCATCGGACATTTGACTTAAGTATATGGAAAGTGTCATTACAGTAGTGTTGATGTTATTCACAGTTTAACTTTTTGATAGAATTCAATTAAATGACACTCAAAAATTGTATCTCCTTTGGTATTTGCATTGCAGATGAACCAGAGGCGCATACATACAGTTCTGTTTTGTGTTTACATAAAATATAGAAAGTCTCTGCACTTGATTGTACTTGAATACGAAGCACTATTTATACCTGTAAAATAATGACAAGATATAAGTGAATCTTGTGCCTTTGTGTATTTTGTTAAAGGAAAATAAAGATGTCTAGCAGCAAACTTGCATTGTGGTTCCTAGAACGTTGTATCCATGCAGTTGTTCCATTGACTGCTTCAGAGGGTTTAGAAAAGCTGTTAAAGATCACAGAATAAGAGTGGTTTGTGTTTGAAGGGACTTAAAGATCTAGTGTCAACCCATATTTTTGTAGAGAAGGGTCTATGTTTAACTTTGTAATTTTTCAAGGGTTTAAAGTTATGGTACATGAGATCAATTTTCAAGTCAATTCAGGCTTGGGGATATATATAT